ATGACATCATAAACATCGGTAAGCTAGAGAGCACCGAGTTTATTAAGACCAAGCGACCTCCTACCGAGAGCAATTTACCTTTCCATCCACTAAGTTTCTTCTCAATTCTATTTTCAATTGTCTGCCAATCTTTGTTACTCAACTTCCTAGTGTGCATCGGTAAACCAAGGTAGCGGAAAGGGAATTTACCCACCCCACATCCAAATAGTTGCGAATAAAACACCTCATTATCCCTTGCTTTACCAAAACAGAAGATCTCACTTTTGTGAAAGTTGATTTTAAATCCTGAAAGTTGCTCAAAAGTACTTAAAATTAACTTCATGTTTCTTGCTTTTTCAAAATCATGGCTCATAAATAACACTGTGTCATCCGCATATTGGAGAATGGACAAGCCATCTTGGACAAGGTGGGGGATGAGCCCTTCTACTTGACCTGCTTCCTTGGCTCTAGCAATCAGTATGGCCAGCATGTCTACCACTATATTAAATAGTATTGGAGACATTGGGTCACCTTGTCTTAAGCCTTTTTTCGTTTGGAAGTAGGAGCCAAGTTGATCGTTCACCTTAATATTTACATTACCTCCTTGTGTGAACTGCTTCACCTAAGAGCACCATTTTTGTGAGAAACCTTTCATCCTTAAAGTTTGCTGTAGAAAACTCCATTTTACTTTATCATATGCCTTCTCAAAATCTATCTTAAAGATTATCCCATCTTGTTTTTTCAAGTGAAGTTCATGTATTGTCTCATGGAGTATTACTGCGCCTTCCATAATGTTTCTGCCTGGGAGGAACGCTGTTTGTGTTGGTCTAATAATCTTCTGGGCAACAGTAGATAATCTATTAGTTACAACTTTGGTATAGATTTTGAAAGAGACATTCAACAAACATATTGGTCTGTATTGATGAATCACTTTCGCATCTTTCTTTTTTGGTAGCAAGATTATCGTTCCAAAGTTGAGTCTATTCAAAGGCAAGGTTCCCTCATAGAATTCCATGAACATAGCCATCAGGTCATTTTTTATTAAGTCCCAGAAGACCTGATAAAACTCTGGTGGAAAACCATCTGGGCCTGGTGCCTTATTATGTTCCATTTGGAAAACTGCTACCCTTACTTCTGATTCCAAGAAGGCATCTGTCAAGTACTCATTTTCTAGTTGGGAGACTTGTGGAATGTCATGAACATAGTGTTCATTTAACTCAATAAAAGAATTCTCTGGAGGACCAAAAATGCTCTTATAATAGCTGGTAATATGCTGCTTTAACCGAGCATCACCATCTATTACAGTGTTACCGTCCTCCAACTGGAAAATACGAGTTTTTCGATGTCTTCCGTTAGCCAATAAATGGTAATATTTTGTATTAGCATCACCCTCCAGTAGATGCTTAACCTTTGCCCTTTGGTACCATTTAAGTTCCTCTTCGCGAAGTAATTCAGCAAGTCTTTCGCTTAACACATGTTTTAAATTTAATTCTGACTCATCGAGCAAAGAGTTTTCTGCCTTTTTATCTAGCTCATCGAGTTTGTTTAACAAAGTTTCCTTTTCTTTCTTGTAGGCGCCACTCACATTTTTTGCCCATCCTCTAAGGTACTGGCGAAGCCTTCTGATCTTCGCTTGCCACCTCTCTAGGGGGCTGCACTCGACAAGTACACTATGCCAAACATCTCTCACCATGTCGCAAAATCCATCCCTGAGCAACCATCCCAGTTCAAACTTGAATTGTGGCTGGTAAGCCGGAGATGGGCTATTTGTGCTACATAACAGTGGAGTGTGGTCAGAAATCTCTCTGCTCAAAGCTTGGACACTTGTAACCGGATACTTGGACTCAAAATCCGTACAAACAAGAATCCTATCTAATTTCTCGAAGGTCTGATTTTGTAAGTGATTAGCCCAAGTAAACTTTATTCCTGCCATTTCTAATTCTCTGAGGTTTAACGTATCTATTACAGCATTGAAAAGAAAAGGCCATCTATCATTATAATTGTCATTATTTTTCTCATCCGGTCTACGAATACTGTTAAAATCACCACCTATAATATAACAGGTAATGTTTCTTTTGAACATACTCGGACTAATTCGGATAAGAATTGTGATTTGAGATCCACTTGAGCTGGGCCATACACTGAGATTAAATTGAACTTGAAATCATCATCTTTGTGTCTCAACATAAACCGAATAAAAAAGTCTCCTTCTATTTGTCCAATGTCAAAGGTTAAAAGGTTTACCCCTAGAATCATGCCACCGGACTGACCCCTTGGAGCCATGCCGTGCCAAAGAAAATCTCTACCAGCACAGATATTATTCAAGGAGGACTGCGGAAAATTGGCTCTCCCGGTTTCCGATACAGCTATAAAGTCTAGGTTCTTTTCTTTTGTTAAATCAGAAAGGAATCTATATTTCTTTGTGTCCGCAAAACCGTTGCTATTCCAGAAAATTCCTTTCATCTCGAGTGGTTTTTTAATTTTTTCTTTTTCTTTTTGGACCTTGACTTCTTGAGATGTGATATAGGGGTCTGTAGACATTCAGGGTCACAGCCCCCATCACCTAGGTCTTCGGAGATTTCAGCACAAATGAGGTTTAAAGCATCTAAATCTAGGTTCTCATCTAGCGAACAAACAGAAGAAGCATCACCTAACAAAGAATTAGTCTCTACATGTAAACATTTACTCTCAGACATTCTACGAGATTCTATGTCTCTAAGAAGTTGCATAGAAAGAGCAGCTTCATGTTCATTAGCCCCAAGTGATATGCCTAGTGTGCTAGTAGAAGCTAGTAAGGATGAATCATCAAAAACATCAAAAGAAAGTGATAGTTCTTTACCTTTGATAGAAGAAGAATCCATGTTCCTACGTGCCTTTAACTTCGTTGCCTTTTCCAACGAGTCTTGCTCCGAAGTAGACGTGTTCCTTTTACTAGCTCTCACTGGCGACACCACCCCACCACTCAGTGCTTTAGTCTTATTCAGAAGACCAGAGTCAATCTTGGATTGCATCAAACTAGCTTGCCACTGTGTAGATCCACCTGGAGTCATCCCAGTCTGCGTGAGTAACACCACCGGCTTAACTACATCACTCTTCCTAGCAAAGTCAAAGTCAGAACCTGTGCCTTCTAGATCAACATGATGAAATGGTTCCTCTGCAGCACCTGTAGAAACCTGCTGGATCCTGTACTCCTCTACAAGGACATGCTGAGTCCCTATTGACAAAGACTTGTTTTTCCTACAAGTTGTTTAGGCAGTGTGTGAGTTGCAAAATTGCAGATCTGGAAAGCAAGAATCTTAACTCCTGCTGTGATGCATATGCTAGTGCTCAGCTAAAGGATAAAAAGCCTTGCATGATAACTCATCCAATCCAAGTAGTACAAGGCCAAAGCCTTGCTAATAACATTTTTGATAAATTCATAGACCTTGTCTACTCCATGTTCGCCTTCATTCATTTATTGCAAGGGAGGATACGGTTGAACCGTTGCTTTCTCAAGGATAGAAACGAAACCCGGTAAAGCTACCCTGAAGCTTCCTTTGTCTGTGTTTATGGTGACTAGTACTTCACTCCAAATGCAGGTCCCAACAATAATTGGCCTTGTTCAACAATGAACAATAATACTGGTACTCCCATTTCAGAGCAGTCCCAATCGATAGACCTTGTCTACTCCTCTTTCTCCACCTTCCTCTTTCCTTGCTTCTTCCTTTTTTTCCCAACGAGCAGCAGAAGGCCAGTAGACCCTCAAAGAGCCCAAATTCCTCTCGTGAAAACCACGAATGATCATCACCAGCAATCTGTTAAAAAAGATCATCACCGAGGAATCAAAGACGGCATCGGCTAAGCTTTTCCGGTATTATTCCTGATTTCCCCACCGAGAGAGCTGCTTCCCCTTCGCAGCCAACAGCGTGTATCCCTTATTCTTGGTGACTACCTGTTTGTTCTCTTGAAGTGCGGTGTTTGTTCCAGTCCCGTCCCACCACTCCGCCACGCTTTTGCTCGTTGTCGACACCGGCCCGCAACCTCTGCTCCCCGCGCCCTTGATTCACTTGGTGTAACTTCATCCCGCAACACCGTGTAAGATCATAAATCTCTACTCTTAGTTTGTTGTGTTAACACTAGCTATTTCGCTCTGTGTGCCGTAGCACACGAGAAAGCAAAATAATCAGTTTGTCTTCATTTTTCTAATCAGATTCACTAATTCTATGTGTCTTCCCAATTCCAGTGTTTTCTTCACCTGTTGCTGTCCTTCTCAAGAATTTGCCTTCCGCAGAAGCACCTCATCCATACATAAAAAGAAAACAGCTTCCATCGTCCATCCATTCATCTTTCTTCTCCTGTTTAATCTTTCTCTTCGCCACTGCAGACCCTTTGCACCCTGCATCTTCAACTTGTTCATTTCACTCCTACGACAAAAGAAAAGAAAAATATAGAAAACCAAAAAAGGAAGGAAAAAAAGATATTAATTGTACTCTTTGCTTGTTTCTCGCTTCCCATCGTCCATCCTTTCATCTATTCTGTTCATGTTTCATCCACCTTGTCCTGATTTTCTCGGTCACTAGACACACTCGCACCCCATCATCTACTCGTTCATTTCTTGTACTCATTCATTTCGCCCCTACCGAAAACAAAAAACTTGAAATCACCCCCCCCAAAAAAGGAAGAAAAAAACAGTATTTCGCCATCAATTTTTTTCCCATCGTTGCTTAATTTTGGCCCCTGCAAAACCCAAACATTTCGTGCTTCGCTTTGTCCTATTCTTTTCATCTGGAAAAACTTGCATCTTGGTTCAAAATTTTCCTCCTATTACATTGCAGTCCCTACCAGTTATTTCCCCTCTGCAGAAGCACCTCATCCATACTAAAAAAAAAACCAGCTTTCTTTCTGATTCGCACCGTCCATCCATTCATCTATTGTGTTCCTTCCATTACCAATTCACCCTGTCATCTTCTTTTCATCTGGAAACACTTACATCCAAGATCTCTTCGCTCAGAAAAGAAGGGGAAGCACAAACCACTGCATCCATGGCAGACTTGGCGCTCTCTGGCTTAAGGTGGGCAGCATCGCCAATCATCAACAAGCTCCTAGCTGATGCTACAGATTACCTCAGCGTGGACTTGGTGCGTGAGCTCCAAAAAACTAGAAGCCACTGTCCTGCCACAGTTTGACCTGGTGATTCGAGCGGCAGAGAAGAGCTCCCACAGGGGCAAGCTGGAGGCATGGATCCGGAGGCTCAAAGAAGCCTTCTATGATGCTGAGGACCTGCTGGATGAGCATGAGTACAACCTCCTCAAGCGCAAGGCAAGGAGTGGGAAGGATCCCATGGTAGGGGGAGGATGAAGCCTCCTCCATTGCATCGACCATCATGAAGCCACTTCGTGCTGCTAAGAGTAGGGCACGCAACTTGTTGCTAGAGAACAGAAAGCTAATTAACAAGATGAAAGAACTCAAGGATATCCTGCTTGAAGCCAAGGAGCTTCGCGATCTTCTTGGCTTACCACATGGCAATACCGTCGACTGGACACCAGCTGTACCTGGAACCGTTGTTCCTACAACAACATCACTTCCCACTTCAAAGGTTTTCGGTCGCGACAGAGATCGTGATCGTATAGTTGATTTTCTTCTCGGCAAGTCGACAACTGAAGAGGCAAGTTCATCGAGGTACTCAAGTTTGGCCATTGTTGGAACGGGAGGAATGGGGAAGTCCACCTTAGCACAGTATGTCTATAATGACAGGAGGATTGAAGAATGCTTTGACGTCAGGATGTGGATCTGCATCTCACGCAAACTTGATGTGCGACGTCACACACAGGAGATCATCGAGTCTGCGAAAAAGGGGGAGTGCCCATGTGTTGATAATCTTGATACTCTCCAGTGCAAACTACGAGACATACTGCAACAGTCACAGAAATTCCTACTTGTCTTGGATGATGTTTGGTTTGAAAAATCTCATAATGAGACAGAGTGGGAGCAACTCCTGGCTCCATTAGTCTCTAAACAGTCGGGAAGCAGAGTTTTGGTGACTTCTCGAGGTGAAATGCTCCCGGCCGCTGTATGCTGTGAACAAGTTGTTCGTTTGGAAAACATGGATGATGCTGAGTTCTTGGGTCTCTTTAAACACCATGCTTTCTCTGGAGTAGAAATTCAAGACCAGCTGTTGCGCACAAAGCTAGAACATATTGCTGAGGAGATTGCTAAAAGGCTTGGAAAATGTCCTTTGGCAGCAAAAGTTCTGGGTTCCAGATTGAGCAGAAAAAAAGATATCACTGAATGGAAAGCTGCACTAAAGCTCAACGATTTAAGTGAGCCCTTCACATCTCTGTTGTGGAGTTATGAGAAGTTAGACCCACGTCTACAGAGGTGCTTCTTGTATTGCAGCTTATTTCCAAAAGGTCATAGATATAGACCTGATGAGTTGGTTCACCTTTGGGTGGCAGAAGGCTTTGTTGATTCGTGCAATATGAGTAGGAGGACAATGGAAGATGTTGGGAGGGATTACTTGAATGAGATGGTCTCTGGATCTTTCTTCCAATCGGTTTTTGAAGGGTATTACTATGTCATGCATGACATCCTTCATGATTTGGCAGAGTCACTCTCTAGAGAAGACTGCTTCAGATTAGAAGATGATAATATGACAGAAATATCATGCACTATTCGACATTTATCTGTTTCTGTTGAGAGTATGCAAAGGCATGAGCAAATTATCTACAAGCTACAGCATTTACACACTGTTATCTGCATCGATCCACTATTGGATAATGCAACTGTTATTTTTGATCAGATACTGCAGAACCTGAAGAAGGTGCGTGTATTGCATTTGTCATTTTACAACAGCAGCATGTTACCTGAATCTGTTGGTGAGCTGAAGCACCTTCGGTATTTGGACCTCACCAGAACGTCAGTTTCTGAATTGCCTAGATCATTATGTGCTCTTTACCACTTACAGTTACTTCAGCTAAACTGCAATGTGGAGAGGTTGCCTGACAAAGTTTGCAATTTAAGTAAGCTACGACATCTGAGTGGGTACAAGGATCAAATTCCCAACATTGGCAAGCTTACTTCATTACAACACATATCTAACTTTTCTGTGCAAAAGAAGCAAGGATATGAGTTGCGACAACTGAAGGACTTGAATGAGCTTGGTGGCAGTTTAAGAGTAAAAAATCTTGAGAATATCATTGGAAAGGATGAAGCCTTAGAGTCGAAGCTATATCAGAAATATTGCCTTAAAGAGTTGACGCTTGAGTGGAGTTCCGAGGATGGCATGGATGCAATGGATATTCTGCATTTGGATATTCTAGAAGGTCTGAGACCGCCACCCCAACTGAGTAAGCTCACAATCAACGGTTACAAATCTGGCACATATCCTAGGTGGTTACTTGAGCGATCCTATTTTGAGAATTTGGAAAGGTTTGAGCTTGATAACTGCAGCTTGCTAGAAGGCCTACCACCAGATACAGAGCTCCTTCAGCATTGCTCTCGTCTGTATCTACGGGACGTTCCAAATTTGAAGTTATCATGTCTTCCAGCAAGCCTTACAAAGTTGTCAATCCACGGCTGCCCACTGCTTACATTTGTCACCAAAAATCAGCTCGAGCAACATGACTTGAGGGAAAATATAATGAAGGCAGATGACCTGGCGTCTAAACTTGCATCAATGTGGGAGGTCAATTCGGGATCAGATATTAGGAAGGTACTTTCAGAGGACTATTCATCCCTGAAGCAGTTGACAACGCAGATGGGTGATGATATATCACAACATCTTCAAATTATTGAAAGTGGCCTAGAGGAAGGAGATATAATATCGGTGAAAGAAAATATCATCAAGGCATGGCTTTTTTGCCATGAGCAGAGGATAAGAGGCATTTATGGAAGGACCACGGAGCTGCCGCTGGTTCTACCATCTGGAATTGGTAAACTTTGTCTTTCTTCATGTAGTATTACAGATGAAGGTTTGGCTATTTGCCTTGGTGGCCTCACTTCACTGAGAACCTTAGAATTGGGTTATAATATGGTCTTAACTGCACTTCCGTCACAGGAGGTGTATGAGCATTTGACAAAGCTTGAGAGGATTGAAATCACTGCTTGTTGGTGTCTCAGATCACTGGGGGGCTTACATGCTGCTCCATCTCTTTCCAGTCTTAACTGTACGGATTGCCCTTGTTTAGAGCTGGCACGTGGAGCAGAATTTATGTCGTTCAACCTTGCTAAGCACCTCAGCATACGTGGCTGCATACTTACAGCTGATTCATTCATTAATGGCTTCCCACACCTGAAATATCTTTCCATTTATAGCTGCAGAAGCTCCCCATCCTTATCGATTGGCCACCTGACCTCCCTTGGATCATTATATCTACGGTATCTCCCTGATCTGTGCTCTCTTGAAGGCTTGTCTTCCCTGCAACTTAAGCACCTAAGTTTGATAGATGTTCCAAACCTCACTGCCAAGCACATCTCACAGTTCCGTGTCCAGGAAGAGCTCACTGTTAGTAGCTCCATATTGCTCAACCACATGCTCATGGCTGAAGGGTTTAGAGTCCCGTCGTATCTTTCTCTTCATGATTGCAAGGAGCCGTCAGTTTCATTTGAAGAACCTGCCAATCTCTCATATGTCAAGCACCTGCAATTTTGGCGTTGCAAAATGGAGTCCCTGCCAACAAATCTGAAATTTGTCTCCAGTCTGCAGAGTCTTGGTATCTCTGATTGCCCCAACATAACATCTTTACCAGATCTGCCGTCCTCCCTCCAGCGCATAAGTATATGGGGTTGCCCCGTCTTGAAGAAGAACTGCCGAGAACCTGATGGAGAAAGCTGGCCAAAGATTTCGCACATCCGCTGGAAGACCTTCTACTAGTATTGAACTTGCTTCTTTAGACTTTCCACTTGTGTGAAAAGAAATAAGAAGGTAAAGGCTCCACTGTCATTCGCGATTCTCCAGGACTAATTATGTCTTCGAATATTTGACATACTTCAATGTTCCAAACAGCCACCTCGAGGTCACTAAGTCATCTCCGCAGCAGGCGGCACCCAGTTCAAGCCAAAAGGCAACCCATCGCTGCTTATGTTGCCCGGCGCCCCGGCCACAGTGAACTGGAAGGCCTCCGTCAGTCCCATCGATTCTCAGGTGTTTGTTCCTCCTATACCATTTCACTTGTCCGGTTATTCCTTCGTTGCTCATTAATAATTGCCAGCACATATTTCTCTAATGGTAGAATAAGCCTCCAATGATGAAGATAAAAACTGTGGTTATCGCTTTGAGGCCAATTGGTCGATTGTTTGTAATAAGAACAGCTATACTCTCATCTGGCTCTGCAAAGTTTCGAATATATATTGAAAACAGCGATTGCCAACGACGAGTGGTGTGTTTGTAATAAATTCGTATTTTCTTTGCTTCCGTGGTTCTGTCGTCGTCGTTGGTGTTTGCTCATGTCATGTGTGCTCTGAGTTTTCATTTTTCATGTGCCTAACTTATTCAAGCCGGGGAAGGGGAGCACGTTGCCGTTGTTCTGCTACTCTGCTTCAAATGAGCGACGAAGACGAGATGGCCCGGCCCAAATAGATGAGTTTGTACCGCAATATTTGTCCCTGTTTTGTTCAGCGTTTCCCCGTCCCCCGTTCGGCCCTTCTCTTGAGGCCGAGCGCTGAACCCTCCGTGTCGCAGGTCTGGCCGGAGTCAGGTCTCGCCGTATGCCCATGCTTTATTTCTGAGAGGTCTGCATGTCCTGCACTTCTTTTGACTGACAGCAAGACAACCGGCAATGCCTAGCCCAGATCTATTTATGGCAATTGATAAACAAGCTAGCCAGCGATCTATGGGGCTCACCGTACGTCCATGCCTAATTTGCTTGCCTCCGCCAACCATAAATACGCAGCGGCCAGCTACATCGATCGCCACACACATCCCACATCCATCCATCCCTCTCCATCGATCAAGAAATAAACAAGGTTCTGTGCCAACTTACTTGCTAGCTCACCAATGGCCTCCTCGTCCTCCTCCTTCCTGCTCGCGGCGGTGGCGTTGGCAGCACTGTTTGCCGTCGGGTCACGCGGCACCGAGCTCACACTCACAATCGGTAAGGACTCCAGCTCCACCAAACTATCCCTGATGCATGACATCCTTCATGATTTGGCAGAGTCACTCTCTAGAGAAGACTGCTTCAGAGTAGAAGATGATAATATGACAGAAATACCATGCACTATTCGTCATTTATCTGTTTCTGTTGAGAGTATGCAAAGGCATAAGCAAATTATCTACAAGCTACAGCATTTACACACTGTTATCTGCACGATCCACTAATGGATAATGCAACTGTTATTTTTGATCAGATACTGCAGAACCTGAAGAAGGTGCGTGTATTGCATTTGTCATTTTACTACAGCAGCATGTTACCTGAATCTGTTGGTGAGCTGAAGCACCTTCGGTATTTGGACCTCACCAGAACATCAGTTTCTGAATTGCCTAGATCATTATGTGCTCTTTACCGCTTACAGTCAGGGGCGGATCCAGAACGGGGCTGCGCCCCGGGCTGAGCTGCTGATTCACGTTCAAAACAGTCTGATTTTACTTCCTAGGCCTCCTTTTGTCTAATTAAGATCATAGTTTTTTAGACTAAACACCACATATGTTAAAGGGGCTACATGGACTCGCCCCGGGCTGCAGCCCGGGCAGCCCGGGCCCTGAATCCGCCCCTGCTTACAGTTACTTAGGCTAAACTGCAATGTGGAGAGGTTGCCTGACAAAGTTTGCAATTTAAGTAAGTTACGACATCTGAGATGGTACAAGGCTCAAATTCCCAACATTGGCAAGCTTACTTCATTACAACACATATCTAACTTTTCCGTGCAAAAGAAGCAAGGATATGAGTTGCGACAACTGAAGGACTTGAATGAGCTTGGTGGCAGTTTAACAGTAAAAAATCTTGAGAATGTCATTGCAAAGGATGAAGCCTTAGAGTCGAAGCTATATCAGAAATATCGCCTTAAACATTTGACGCTTGAGTGGAGTTCCGAGGATGGCATGGATGCAATGGATATTCTGCATTTGGATATTCTAGAAGGTCTGAGACCGCCACCCCAACTGAGTGAGCTCACAATCAACGGTTACAAATCTGGCACATATCCTAGGTGGTTACTTGAGCGATCCTATTTTGAAAATTTGGAAACGTTTGAGCTTTATAACTGCAGCTTGCTAGAAGGCCTACCACCAGATACAGAGCTCCTTCAGCATTGCTCTTGTCTGTATCTACGGGACGTTCCAAATTTGAATACATTATCATGTCTTCCAGCAAGCCTTACAAATTTGTCAATCCACGGCTGCCCACTGCTTACATTTGTCACCAAAAATCAGCTCGAGCAACAAGACTTGAGGGAAAATATAGTGAAGGCAGATGACCTGGCGTCTAAACTTTCATCGATGTGGGAGGTGGATTCAGGATCAGATATTAGGAAGGTACTTTCAGAGGACTATTCATCCCTGAAGCAGTTGACAACGCAGATGAGTGATGATATATCACAACATCTTCAAATTATTGAAAGTGGCCTAGAGGAAGGAGATATAATATCGGTGAAAGAAAATATCATCAAGGCATGGCTTTTTTGCCATGAGCAGAGGATAAGAGGCATTTATGGAAGGACCACGGAGCAGCCGCTGGTTCTACCATCTGGAATTCGTGAACTTTGTCTTTCTTCATGTAGTATTACAGATGAAGGTATGGCTATTTGCCTTGGTGGCCTCACTTCACTGATAACCTTAGAATTGGGTTATAATATGGTCTTAACTGCACTTCCGTCACAGGAGGTGTATGAGCATTTGACAAAGCTTGATAGCATTGAAATCACTGCTTGTTGGTGCCTCAGATCACTGGGGGGCTTACATGCTGCTCCATCTCTTTCCAGTCTTGACTGTACGGATTGCCCTTGTTTAGAGCTGGCACGTGGAGCAGAATTTATGTCGTTCAACCTTGCTAAGTTCCTCAGGCCGCGTTTAGTTCGTGCCCGGAATCGGCGCCGCCCGAATCTGGGGCACTGTAGCGGTACTGTTGGACACTGTAGCGTTTTGTTTGTATTTGGTAATAATTATCCAATCGTTGACTAATTAGGCTTAAAACGTTCGTCTCGCAAATTACAACCAAACTGTGCAATTAGTTTTTGATTTTATCAACATTTAATACTCCATACATGTACCGCAAGTTTGATGTGACGGGGAATCTTCTTTTTGCATAGTGTCAAATTCTGGAAAATGAGGGAACTAAACAAGGGCTCAGCATACGTGGCTGCATACATCCAGCTGATTCATTCATTAATGGCTTCCCACACCTGGAATATCTTTCCATTTATAGCTGTAGAAGCTCCCCATCCTTATCGATTGGCCACCTGACCGCCCTTGAATCATTAAATCTATTGTGTCTCCCTGATCTGTGCTCGCTTGAAGGCCTGTCTTCCCTGCACCTTAAGCACCTAAGGCCCCGAAAACCAAAAATTTTTACATAATAAGTGTCACATCAAATCTTGCGGCACATATATGGAGTACTAAATGTAGACGAAAAAAAAAACTAATTACACAATTAGCCGAGAAATCGTGAGACGAATCTTTTAAGCCTAAATAGTCCATAATTGGACAATTTTTGTCAAATACAAACGAAAGTGCTACAGTAGCCAAAAGCCAAAAATTTTCGGAACTAAACACGCCCTAAGTTTGGTAGATGTTCCAAACCTCACTGCCAAGCACATCTCACAGTTCCGTGTCCAGGAAGCGCTCTCTGTTAGTAGCTCCGTATTGCTCAACCACATGCTCATGGCTGAAGGGTTTAGAGTCCCGCCGTATCTTTGTCTTCATGATTGCAAGGAGCCGTCAGTTTCATTTGAAGAACCCGCAAATCTCTCATCTGTCAAGACGCTGGAATTTTGGAGGTGCGAAACGGAGTCCCTGCCAACAAATCTGAAATTTCTCTCCAGTCTGCAGAGTCTTGATATCTCTCAGTGCCCCAACATAACATCTTTACCAGATCTGCCGTCCTCCCTCCAGCGCATAAGTATATGGGGTTGCCCCGTCTTGAAGAAGAACTGCCGAGAACCTGATGGAGAAAGCTGGCCAAAGATTTCGCACATCCGCTGGAAGACCTTCTACAGATGTTGAACTTGCTTCTTTAGACTTTCCACTTGTGTGAAAAGAAATAAGAAGGTAAAGGCTCCACTGTCATTCTCGATTCTCCAGGACTAATTATGTTTTCCAATATTTGACGTACTTCAATGTTCCAAACAGCCGCCTCGAGGTCACTAAGTCATCTCCGCAGCAGGCGGCACCCAGTTCAAGCCAAAAGGCAACCCATCGCTGCTTATGTTGCCCGGCGCCCCGGCCACCGTGAACTGGAAGGCCTCCGTCAGTCCCATCGATTCTCAGGCGTTTGTTCCTCCTATACCATTTCACTTGTCCTGTTATTCCTTCGTTGCTCATTAATAATTGCCAGCACATATTTCTCTAATGGTAGAATAAGCCTCCAACGATGAAGATAAAAACTGTGGTTATCGCTGAGGCCAATTGGTCGATTGTTTGTAATAAGAACAGCTATACTCTCATGTGGCTCTGCAAAGTTTCGAATATATATTGAAAACAGCGATTGCCAACGACAAGTGGTGTGTTTGTAATAAATTCGTATTTTCTTTGCTTTTCGTGGTTCTGTCGTCGTCGTTGGTGTTTGCTCATGTCATGTGTGCTCTGAGTTTTCATTTTTCATGTGCCTAACTTATTCAAGCCGAGGAAGGGGAGCGCGTTGCCGTTGTTATATGATGTGGTGGAGCGTTGCCGTTGTTCTGCTACTCTGCTTCAAATGACCGTGGATGGGTTACGCGTGGATCCGGCATCTCCTTCCTGCATCTTCGACGAGGACGCAGCGGATCTAGCGTCTCCGGCGAGGACGCAACGGATTCGGCGTGGGTGCAGTGGATTCGGCGTCTCTGACCTGCTTCTCCGGTGAGGATGCAGCGGATTTGGCGGCGAGCGGCCGAATCCCAGTTCGACGCGTGGTCCGGCGAGGATGCTTGCACCAGCGAGCAGCTACGGCGACGCGTGGATGGGCTTTGCGGGCCCGTTGATGGGCTCGCCGGGCTTATCTACGGGGTTTTCTTTTTTTATTTGATTTACCGAGGCGAGCATCCAACAGCGTCGTTCATTTGGAAAACATGGATGATGCTGAGTTCTTGTCACTCTTCAAACAATATGCTTTCTCTGGAGCAGAAATCAAAGACCAGCTGTTACGCATGAAGCTAGAACATATTGCAGAGGAGACTGCTAAAAGGCTTGGACAATGTCCTTTGGCAGCAAAAGTTCTGGGTTCCCGATTGAGCAGGAAAAAAGATATCACTGAATGGAAAGCTGCTCTTAAGCTCAATGATTTAACTGAGCCCTTCACAGCTCTGTTATGGAGTTACGAGAAGTTAGATCCACATCTGCAAAGGTGCTTCTTGTACTGCAGCTTATTTCCAAAGGGTTATAGTTATAAACCTGATGAATTGGTTCACCTTTGGGTGGCAGAAGGCCTTGTTGATTCATGCAGTTTGAGTAGGAGGGCAATGGAAGAAGTTGGGAGGGATTACTTCACTGAGATGGTCTCTGGATCTTTCCTCCAGCTGGGTTCTAAAAGACACTCTGACAAGTACTATATCATGCACGATATTCTTCATGATTTAGCACAGACTCTATACAGAAGACTGCTTCAGACTAGAAGATGATAATGTGACGGAAATACCACGCACTGTTCGACACCTATCTGTTCGTGTTAAGAGTATGCAAAGGCATAAGGAATTATCTACAAGCTGCGTCATTTACGAACTATCTTTTGCATTGATCCACTGATGGACAATGCAAGTGATATTTTTGATCAGATGCTGCGGAACCTGAAGAAGATGCGTGTATTGTATTTGTCATTTTACAACAGCAGCAAGTTACCTGAATCTGTTGGTGAACTGAAGCACCTTCGGTATTTGAACCTCAGGAGAACTTTGGTTTCTGAATTGCCCAGATCATTATGTATTCTTCACCATTTACAGTTACTTCATTTAAACTACATGGTGAAGAAGTTGCCTGACAAACTTTGCAATTTAAGTAAGTTACAACATCTGGGAGGGTATGAGAACCGAATTCCCAACGTCGGCAAGCTAACTTCGCTACAACATATGCACATCTTTTCGGTGCAAAAGAAGCAAGGATATGAGTTGCGACAGCTGAAGGACTTGAATGAACTTGGTGGCAGTTTAACAGTAAAAAATCTTGATAATGTTACTGGAAAGGACGAGGCCTCAGAGTCTATGCTATATAAGAAGAATCACCTTAAAAAGTTGAGTCTTGTCTGGAATAGCGAGAATGGCATGGATGCGGATACTTTACATTTGGATATTCTAGAAGGTTTGAGACCCTCGCCCCAACTGAGTGGCCTCACAATTGAAGGTTACAGATCTGGCACATATCCAAGTTGGTTAATTGAGCCATCCTATTTTGAGAATTTGGAATGTTTTGAGCTCAATGGCTGCAGTTTGTTAGAACGGCTACCACCTGATACCGAGCTGCTTCGGCATTGCTCTATGCTGAATATAAAAAATGTTCCAAATTTGAAGACACTATCTTGTCTTCCATCAGGCCTTACGGAGTTGTCGATTTGCGGGTGCCCACTGCTTACGTTTGTCACCAACAATGAGCTAGAACAACATGACTTGTGGCAAACCAAAATGAAGAAAGGCGACCTGGCGTCAAAACTTGCATCAATGTGGGAGGTGGATTCAGGATCACATATTTGGAATATGTTATCAGAGGACTGTTCATCTCTGAAGCAGATTATGACACTGATGGATGATGATATATCACAACATCTTCAAATTATTGGAAGCGCTCTGGAGGAACATGATATAATATCGGTGAAAGAAAATATCATCTGGGCATGGCTTTTTTGCCATGAGCAGAGGATAAGGGCCATTTATGGAAGGACCATGGAGCTGCCACTGATTCTACCATCAGGACTTCGTAAACTTTCTCTTTCTTCATGCACTATCACAGATGAAGCTTTAGCAATTTGTCTTGGTGGCCTCACTTCACTGGAAAGTCTACACTTGGAATATAATACGGCGTTAACTACACTTCCTTCAGAATCGGTGTTTCAGCATGTAACAAAGCTTGACTCCTTGGGAGTAGAAGGTTGTTGGTGTCTCAGATCATTGGGGGGCTTACGTGCTGCTCCATCTCTTTCCAGTCTTTACTGTACGGATTGCCCTTCTTTAGAGCTGGCACATGGAACAGAATTTATGTCGTTCGACTTTGCTGAGCGCCTCACGATACGTGGCTGCATTCTTGCAGCCGACTCATTCATTAATGTCTCGCCACACCTGAAATTTCTTTTAATCAATGGCTGTAGATCTGTGCTTTCTTGAAGACTTGGGTTCCCTGCAGCTTAAGCAAGTAAGTCTGATAGATGCTCCAAACCTCACTGCCAATGCCAAGTGCATCTCACAGTTTCTTCGTGTCCAGGAAGTGCTAACCGTTAGTAGCTCTGTATTGCTCAACCACATGCTTAGGGCTGAAGGGTTTACAGTCCCACCAAATCTTCGTCTTACACATTGCAAGGAGCCATCAGTTTCATTTGAAGAACCCACAAATCTCTCATCTGTCGTCAAGCGCCTGGAGTTTTGGACTTGCGAAATGGAATCTCTGCCAAGAAACCTAAAATTTCTCTCCAGTCTGGAGAGTCTTTATGTCGTTGATTGCTCCAACATAGTATCATTACCACATCTTCCGTCCTCCCTCCAGAGCATAAGTATATGGGCTTGTGACGCCTTGAAGGAGAACTGCCGAGAGCCTAATGGAGAAAGCTGGCCAAAGATTTCACACATCCGCTTGAAGGACTTCCGCTAATATTAAACTTGCTTCTTTAGGCTTGCCACTTGAAAGAAATGAAAAGGTAACGGTTCCACCGATTCATTCTCGAGGACTAATTAAGTTTTCCAATATTTAACGTACTTCATGTTTCAAACAGCGGCCTCGAGGTTACTTCCGTCATGGCGTCCTCGTCTCTGCAGCAGGTTATAAGGGTAAGGGAGTGCCTCAGACTTCAAGTCAGAAGCTAATCCATCGCAGGTGCCGTCCCCTCAGTTCCCTGCTCCGTCACTCTGTCTCCCATTGCCTCCGCCCAGAGTTCATGAGCACCTCCATGGTTGCCAGTTTGTTTGTTCAAGACGTGTTTCTCAATTTGGACCCTGTTGTTGTGGCTGGTATTTTGATATACTTTTGTAAGTGCTCTCTCGTGTGCAGTGTGCTCTGCAATTTGATGTACCTGTACTTTGGAGCTTTCCCACGTATTGCCATGAGGTTTGGTGTCTAGTGTAGTTTATAGACAAGGGTAGGAATCTGGTTCAATCGTTGGATGGTCAGATGGGTGCCCGTTTGATTGTTTGGGCAGTGGCGATTTGTGCCCGTTAATAATAGCCAGTATGATCTACCTACCATGAACTTGTGGTTTGCCTCAGTAACAACAGTGCCGAAGCATGACTCTGTAGTTACATACTGGGTATTATTAACTGGCACAAATTGGTTTTTGCGGAGCTGCTGGCTCCTTTGCAACCATGCTCAGCAACGATGACTCATGGTAGTGTGTACTTTACCGCGTTGCGTGAGTGGGCTAGCCTTTCGTGGTGTTTGGCGCAACGATGGGCTACCTTTGCTTATACATAAACTTCATTCATCTTGATTGAAAGGCAGAGCTCCTGACATTATTTCAAAAAAATATATATTATATGAATTTGGTCAAAAGATGTTTTCTCTCAAAAAGTTATAATCACTTATAATTTGGGATTGAGGGAGTAACAACATAATAATCTCTAGATTTTTCGGCTATTCAGGTTGTTATAGTTTTTTTCTCGAACACGCAAAATATTTGCACATCATTGTAATTAAGATAGAAGAGTTTAACCATATAAACGACACGCTTCTGTCAAGCGCCCAAAGGGGTCAACATAAGGCAGCTGGAGGCTGGACCATCCTAGCAAGCAAACTCAAGTTTCGATATTCCACAACTGGTATACAATCGATAAAAGCGCAGCGGTGCAACCTAAGAGGTTGCCTTGCGTCTATGCTGCTGCTTACATGAGCCTTTTCCGCCGTCCGCGAAGAGCGCGTCCGGTGCTTCAATGTTGGACGTAGTCAGCTTACTGTCGAAGAGCCTCTCGTATGCCTTCTGTCCCGACAAGCTCGGCGTTGATAGACCCATGACGTAGCCCATACGCTGCATGACAAGGATCTCACCTCTCTTGGAAGCAAGTACTTAATAGAGGCTTTGAGCCACTAGCTGCTTGCTCCGTAGCGCGAGCGCCAGCTTAGCTGGTGACAGCTGCTTGGAGGCTAACGAATTAGCGGTGAGTCGATCTTCTTTCAGCACTCACTTGGTGAAGCTCCCAAGGCAACATGCGGTAGAGTTGTCGATGTCCTCGATCGGATGGCCGTCCCATGGTGGCATACTGACCAACGTCTATGGCGTCGTCGACGTTGGTGTCAACGTCCTCCAGCGCCACGCCCAATGGCTCCCAGCGCAGCTCCACCCGCGAGCCTGGCATACTGCCATGGGTCGGTTGCTAAGCGTGTGAGGGCTGGTCGCGGCGACCCTTGGTCGAACATCGAGGAGCACCCGTGTCACTAGGAACGCTGACCTGGCCACCTGCCTCACCAGCAGCATCACCATCCTTGCCTCCGACGACGATGGAGCATGGCTGGGATCTCTCAGTCAGCGGCGATGGTGATTGCTAGCCCCGACGAGCCGTGTCAAGGTAGGGGGTTGGGGAAGCGGTCGGCAATTGCTTCGCATCCGAAGCAACAAGGAGACCATCCTCCACCTAACGACGAGACTTGAAATGTCACCTTGAGCGCCCCCGGTCGGAAGGGTGGGGTGAAGGGAGAGAGCGAGGTCGACGAGCTTGCAGCGGAGCAACCCGATGTAGCCTGCCGCGCCGGGCTGGACTCCCCGTCCACTAGGCTTCCCATGATGGCCAATGACCCAAAGCAACTGGAGGACGGTAGGGCTAGCAGCCGCGGCGCAGCAGGAGGCGTTGCCCCGGCGGGGGGTAGCATGGCTTTAGATCCGAGCCCGCCGACCTCACCGGCACCGGAGTTTGCAGGGGCGGGCACAGAGGGCGGGGGCCGAGGGGGACCAGCGCATTTGCAACCGTCGAAGTGGTTGGCGCGGGCCCCGCGGGCAGAGGCAGCGGCCGCCCCGCGAGCGGCACAGGCATCGGCATCCGCGCTTGCGCTTAGCTGAGAGGCGCACAAGGCTGGTGGAGGCCGGGCTCGTTGAAAGAAGGGAGAGGAGGAGGGGGCCACCGAAGCCGGGACGGCAGCAGGCGGCATCGGCGTCGGGAGGGGGTGGCGCATCTGCCTGGTGCTGAGATCTGCGGTCAGAGCCATCGGCGGAGGCGGGGCTTGTGGGGGTCGAGGAGGGAGTAGAGAGGGGAAGGGAGGGGGATGGGCCACCGGCGCCGGGATGGCAGCCGCCGCCGCCGGCGGGGAGTGGGGGGTGGCCGCCAGGGGCGTCACCTAATGGAGGTCCTCCCCACGCGACCGTCCTATTGTATTCTGTTGTAACAGTTGATACCCAGCCGATCCAATCCAGGAGACTATATATATACATAAGCTCTTGTTGCCATTTTGTTCAACCCAATTAACTCGCATCCGTCGACCCTAGACAACGGGTGATGTTCCACCCAATAACCGTGATCAATCTTTCAGGTGCCACTGGCGCATTGATATGGAAAGCAAGACTCTTGATTCCTATATGCCATGCCATTGCAAGGTGGAGTGCCTTTTTTTTTCTGTGACCATATTTTCTGTTGTTTATATTGTACATTTCTGTACTCAATAGATGTGTAGTCATAAACTATGCTAATATTTTGTTTAGATCTGAAAAAATAAAAATCATACTTCTTGTTACAGTCCAATCAAACTTTACCGAAATTTTTCCTCGCAAAAAAAAAAGCTTCACCAAAATTTTATGAATTTCGGTAATTTCAGAGGTGACGAAAAAATCGTCACACTGAAAATGGAAACCATGCATGGTAGACGTTACCAGTTCTAATGCATGGCACGTTATACTTTGATCTATTTTTATTTAAGTAGATTTTGCTTGACGGTTACCAAACAGGATTTATTTCTTTGGGGGTATGGGGGTTTCCTTGGCGATTCTCAAGGCTCAAGTAATTCAGATTTTTGGTGGTTAATTCAATGCGAAAGGACCTGTAGCCTAGTGGTTACAAGAGTTTCATTAACACCTCAGGTCCTGGGTTTGACTCCCCGTGTGAGCAATTTTTTCAGGATTTAACGGCGTTGTGCTTTTCTGTGGTGACTTCGTCAATCTTGAGGATTTACCGGGCCAATCTTCAAAGATGCTCATAGGGGTAGGGTCTGTGTGTCCGTTTACAGGAGGTGAGTTTGTGGGTGCCTGCGTTGTTTTCGCAAAAAAAGGTGTGTTTTTATTTTATTTTTCTCCTGTAAACTCCTTTATTAATACAAGACGGACAGAGTCCGGCCATAGTTTCTAAAAAATTAGCTGCTAAAGGATATAAAAAGGAACATTATTGTACTTTTGCTTCCATCTCTTGAAGTTCTGTTGTCCATACTGATTTTGTTTGCGGTTACTAGCCATATCTAATCCATGTCATTGTTGAGTAATTCATGTTATCCTTAGACCAGGGTGCATGAATTATATTGTAAGGTTGATGAATCACCAAACTGGAGGACAAGAATGGATTGCTTAGCGGTTAGTATTTGTTGTCTGAATATAGGCATTACAGTAGATCGATGGAATATATTTGGACAACTTGAGAGTAGCATTCACACCTGAGAGTAGGGATGTAAGTGGATCGGATATGGACGGATATCATTAATATTATATTTATTTTTGTATTTTTATTCGGATTCAAATTTGAATATGGATAATGTTAGCTATGTCGGATAGGATACGATTGAATATCGACATTATAAATATGCGATTTGTGTATTTGGATACGGATATGGTATCGTATATTGAATATCTGGACTTGAATACGGACATATCTGAACTCCTCTAAACGGATTTGGTCTTAAATATGGTCGAAAAATATCCGTACCGTTTTCACCCCTATATGTGAGAGGGTGGAAGCAGAAAAGGTAGAAGGTACAGCAATGATAAAATTATGGAAGGAGGAGCAGGTAGAGTGGTAGATTTACCTACCGTTTTATTGGCTTGATCGATGTCTTAGTTTATAGCTGAATCATTGTTTTTTTAGCCTGATGTGCTAAGACCACTTGTGCAACAGTCAGTGATCGACCTACTCGGTATTAACAATAGCTAGTCTTGATCATGACCAGCTCATCTCAATTTATAAAGAGGCTTTTACATATATGCCATTATAAAAGTTAGTAATTACCCATAAGCCATTAAAAAAATTGAGTTCTCACAGGTTCCACTGCTCTGAACTCTTTTGCCATTTACACCACTTCCGTCAGATTTGACCGTAACGGTGTCAAACCGAGAGTGTGAAAAGTCAAAAATATCCTCAGGTCTGAATATGCAATTAATTTTTTTTGAATATCTTAATGATCTCAAATGAAAAAACTCAAAACTAGAAAGTTGTAGATCTCGACAATATTTACAATTTTTGTATAAAAATTATTTTCATTATTTTCGTACAAAAAAGATATGATTTGATATGATTAATATGTCTTAGAAAAGTCACATTTTTTTTTGTATGGAATCAAATGAAGATAATTTTTATATAAATATTATAGATCTCGACGAGATCTACAACTTTCTAGTTTTTAGTTTTTTTTATTTGAGATCGTTAAGATTCTAAAAAAATTAATTGCATATGTAGACATGAGGGTATTTTTGATTTTTCACACCCGCAGTTTGACACCGTTAGAGTCAAATTTGACGGAAGTGGCGTGGAGGGCAAAGGAGTTCAGAGCGGCACCTGTAAAAACTCAACTTTTTTAATGGCTCGTGGGTAATTACCAACTTTTATAATGGCACACCGGTAAAAGTCTCATTTATAAAACTGAAACCGGTCACTTAAGTATAATTTTTTGGTACAGAGAAGTTGACGAGCTAATGTGTGCTTCCCTGCCTTTGCCCGTGTATTACTGGATCAGAATAATCAGATCTGTGGTTGACGGGCTATTTGAATCTTGCTCTGGCAACTCTGCTCCACACGCCCTTGCTAATTTTAAGTTGGTGTAAGATCTCCGGTCTCCACTACTCGTTCGTTGTGTCAACTTGTTAGCTATTTTCCTCCGTGTTCATGTATGTTGCATCTCGTCTGTAAGATCTCCAGTCTCCACTCCGCCCTGGATAATTTACCTGCCATCTCTATAAACGAATTTGGAAATAAAAGTCATTTTCAGAGCGGGCCTCGCCTCTATTAATTGAGGGAAGCCCATTTGACCTATTTAGGAAATCCTAGTATCTATAATCTCCACCAACCATTGGCCTGTTCATTTCTTCTCGTAACAGTCGCACACACGCCGCACCTCTCTCTCTATCTAGATCTCGACGCTGGAGCCCCTCCTCTTCCGGGCTAGGCTCCATTGCCATCTCTAGCCCTGCAGCGGCGTTCGCGTGGGGCTCACCGCCTTGGTCGATGCCGTCCTCGCAACCTCGACACGAGGATCCGAGCAGGGCATGGGAGGTAGGAGTACGGTTGAGCCAAAGAGGTGTGGGGAGACGACCGTACGTGTCGAGCAGGCGAGGGAGGGCAGCCAGGCCTAGGCTCGGGGAGACGGCGGCCGTGGCGAGTAGGCATCAAGCACGGGCATGACTGAGGACCACTGGCCTTCGTGGTGAGCCTTATTCCTCTATCAATCTCTTACAAGGAGGTTGCAGCTGTTGATGGTCACTAAACCCAATGTTTGACCATCAACATTCCACCAAAGTGAAGGTAAATCACATCACAAGTAGCAAATTACGTTTATAAATGATCTAGTTCCACTTGTATTGGAGGAAGGTGTATGCAGGGGCAAAATAGTCAAAATATGGTGAGAATAAAGCTTCTAAAAGGGACTACACGTGGCAGGGCGGTCTGGGCCCACCTGGTGGGGTGACCCCACCAAGGTGTCGCCGACGCCCCATCTCCCCCTGCCACGTCACTAATCCGTGGGGAAGCAGGGAAGCACACCCAGGAGCCCCCTCAGTCGTCGGTTTGAGTCGGTTGGATCCAAGGGTGTCGGATGGGCCTCACTTGGATTGGAGGGCCCACTGTCAGCTGCTCAGGGAGTCTACCGACTATCCAAGTGCCTTAGGACACATGCAACCGCCATCAGGAAGCAATCCAGAGCATTGGATGGAGAGGTAGCGGAGATCAAGGGTCGGCTGACGCCCTAAGCCGTCACCCGACCCCACCTCTCCTCCACCAACCTCTCACCCCCCCTACAAGTACCCCCATAACTCCTATACAATATAAAAGTGGGTGTTGAGCTATGGAGAAGGCATCACTATCATAGGCAACACCACTCCACTAAAGATCAAGCTCAACGAGGAGCTCTAGGGTAGTAGCTAGGATAGTAGTGGGAATAGAATTAAGAGTGGAGCTCTGCTCGGAGTCCAAAAGAGTCTTTAGGTGTTGTATGACTCCTTTGTATTTTTCCTCTTTTGTACACTTACCTTATGTGTAATATACTTTTACTTTGCTCAAGTACTTTATTCAAGTTTACTTACTTGGCTAAGTGTGCTTTGAAGCTTTGTTCTAAGCTTAGTTGAATATTCTCCCGTCCCTAAAAAAGAGTCGTTATGGGAATCGTGCTGGTAAAACTTTTTCAACTTTGACTAGATTTGTAGAAAATACGTGCAACATTTATATCTCTAAATAAATTTATTATAAAAATATATTCAACGATCTACATAATAGTACTAATTATGTATCATAAATATTAATATTTTGATAAAATATATTTGGTCAAAGTTAAAAATTGTTGACTTTTTGGGAAGCGAGAATGACTCTTTTCCTGGAACAGAGGGAGTAGCTGTCTATATTGTATTGTACCTTGCACAGGCTCTACCATCAGGTTTGGGTGCTTGGATCTCATTTCAAAACAAACACCCAATCAGACACTCTATTGCTTCTTGACCGTCAAACATAAATACTTAAATACATGTACAAGATTTAGGAAAATATATTTCCAAGTCCATTCCTAACTGTTATCATATTAGTAATTTGTTCAATTATAATTTAATGGTTTATTACATCATTTATTAAGTAAACAACCTAAAGGAGGGGAATGTATTATATCTTTTAGACTAAAGAATAAATACTTACCTCGATTAATAGTGCTAAAAATATATCGCGGATAAAACAAATACAGTGTTTTATGAATATAAAATATCATTGGTGGCAATAGTGGAACAATAAGCAGTAACGTAACGGTAAACCATATGAGAAGTTATAGCGAACTATTTAAAACCATATGTGAAATATGATCCTTCCTAATTTTTTAGGTATGAGATGTTGCGGTTCTTAGTTTAATTAATGGGGACAAGAACCATTTTTTTATTGGAGAAATCATGAGATTAGAAGTTTAGAACACAGAGCTGTTCCTAGTCTTGTTGACGCCTGTAGCTTGTACGCGTGTTTGTGTTAGTTCAGCCTCATGTTTGGTTGTACTTAGTCAAAACGGCTTTCTTTGAGTGTGAGAGCGTCTTTCTAGTTTTAACATAAGACTACTTTATTAAAAGATAATCATCTCCACTCCACTCGCAACTAGTAGTACTAATCAGCACAGCAGCACACCAGCACCTTTTCTGCTTTTCCCATCGAAAGAACAGAGCTGCTTCCCTCCCACTCCCAGCCTTCCTTTTCCGGTGTGTTGCTGGATCAGATCAGTAGCTGACTGGCTGGATCAGATCAGTAGCCTCTCATCATCTTGCAGCACAGCACTCGTTCCACACTCCAGTCCACCGCTCCGCTGACCTCGCACTCGTCGTCGACGACGGCTCCGGCAACTCTGTCTCTGTGTTAATAACTTGCTAGTAGCTCTTCATTTTGTGCAAGATCTCTAATCTCCGCTCTTCATTTTGCGTTAATAACTTGCTAGTAGCTAGGAGTGTTTCCCTCTGTGTTCCCGTATCTTGCATTCGGAACACATGAGAAAGGAAAACAATCGGTTTGCTTGTTTCTCCTACTAGTTTCACTAATTTTATCTCGTCTTTCTGGTTCCAGGTTTCCGCTGATGTCTTTGTCAGTTATTTCCATAGGAGCAAGCTGGAGGCAAGGCTCCGGCGGATCAAAGAAGCCTTCTATGATGCCGAGGACCTGCTGGACGAGCATGAGTACAACCTCCTCAAGCGCAAGGCCTAGAGTGGGAAGGATCCCTTGGTAGGGGAGGATGAAACCTCCTCCATTGCATCGACCATCCTAAAGCCACTTCGTGCCGCCAAGAGCAGGGCGCGCAACTTGCTCCCTGAGAACAAAAAGCTAATTAGCAAGATGAATGAGCTCAAGGCCATCCTGACGGAAGCAAAGGAACTTCGTGATCTTCTTAGCATACCACCTGGAAATACTACATGTTTAGGGTGTCCAGGCGTACCAACAACCATTGTTCCTCCGACCACAGTGACATCACTTTCCACTTCAAAGGTTTTCGGTCACGACAGGGATCGCGATCGAATAGTAGATTTTCTTCTTGGCAAGACAACAGCTGACGAGGCAAGTTCAACTAGGTACTCGAGTTTGGCCATTGTTGGAGCGGGGGGTATGGGGAAGTCCACCTTAGCGCAGTATGTCTACAATGACAAGAGGATAGAAGAAGGCTTTGATGTCAGGATGTGGGTCTGCATCTCACGCAAGCTTGATGTCCGTCGTCACACAAGGGAGATTATTGAGTCTGCAACAAATAGGGAGTGCCCATGTTTTGATACTCTCCAGTGCAAATTACGTGACATACTGCAGAAGTCAGAGAAATTCCTACTTGTGTTGGATGATGTTTGGTTTGAAAAATCTGGCAGTGAGACAGAGTGGTTTCAACTCCTGGATCCATTAATCTCTAAACAGTCGGGAAGCAAAGTTTTGGTGACTTCTCGACGTGCAATGCTTCCGGCTGCTATTTGCTGTGAACAAGAACAAGTTATTCTTTTGGAAAACATGGAGGATGCCGATTTCTTGGCACTCTTCAAGCACCATGCTTTCCCAGGAGCAAAAATTGGAGACCAGGTTTTGCGTAGTAGGCTCAAACATGCTGCAGAGGAGATTGCTAAAAGGCTTGGAATGTGTCCATTGGCAGCAAAAGTTTTGGGTTCCCGGTTGAGCTGAAAGAAAGATATTGTTGAATGGAATGCTGCTCTAAAGCTCAGAGATTTAAGTGAGCCCTTCACAGTTCTCTTGTGGAGTCACAAGAAGTTAGATCCACGTCTACAGAGGTGCTTCTTGTATTGCAGCTTATTTCCAAAAGGTCATAGATATAGACCTAATGATTTGGTTCATCTTTGGGTAGCAGAAGGCTTTGTTGGTTCGTGCAATTCGAGTAGGACATTGGAAGATGTTGGGATGGATTACTTCAATGATATGGTCTCTGGATCTCTCGTCCAAATGGTTTCTGAAAGGCATGGTTCGTACTATGATTCGTACTATGTCATGCATGATATCCTTCATGATTTAGCAGAGTCACTCTCTAGAGAAGACTGCTTCAGATTGGAAGAAGATAATGTGACAGAAGTACCATGCACTGTTCGACATCTATCAATTCGTATTGAGAGCATTCAAAACCATAAGCAAATTATCCACAAGTTATATCATTTACGCACTATTATCTGCATTGATCCACTAACAGATGATGCAAGTGATATTTTTTATCAGATGGTGAACCTGAAGAAGTTAGGTGTATTGTATTTGTCATTTTACAACAGTAGTAAGTTGCCTGAATCTATTGGTAGGCTGAAGCACCTTCGGTATTTGAACCTTATCAGAACGTTAATTTCTGAATTGCCTAGATCATTATGTACTCTTTACCACTTGCAGTTACTTCAGTTAAGCCCAATGGTGGAGAGGTTGCCTGACAAGCTTTGCAATTTAAGTAAGTTACGACATATGGGGGCGTACAAGGAGTACCCACGTACCTTGGTTGAAAAATTATTCATCAAATTCCCAATATAGGCAAGCTAACTTCGCTACAACACATGCGTACCTTTTCTGTGCAAAAGAAGCAAGGATACGAGTTGTGGCAGCTGAAGGACTTAATGAGCTTGGTGGCAGTTTAAGTGTAGAACTTGAGAATGTTTCAGAAAAGGATGAAGCCTTAGAGTCCATGCTATATCAGAAGAATCGCCTTAAAAAGTTGCGGCTTGCCTGGAGTAGCGAGAATGGAATGGATGCAGCAGATACTTTACATTTGGATATTCTAGAAGGTCTGAGACCGTCACCCCAACTTAGTCGCCTCACAATCGAAGGCTACAAATCTGGGACATATCCAAGGTGGTTACTTGAGCCATCCTATTTTGAAAATTTGGAAAGTTTTAAGCTTAACGGCTGCACTTTGTTAGAAGGCCTACCACCTAATACTGAGCTCCTACGGCATTGCTCTAGGCTGTGTCTAAAAAATGTTCCAAAGTTGAATATATTACCTTGTATTCCAGCAATGCTTACAAAATTGTCAATTCAGAAGTGCCCACTGCTTATGTTTGTCTCCAAAAATGAGCTCGACCAGCATGATTTGAGGGGAAATATAATGAAGACAGAAGACCTGGCATCTAAACTTGCATCAATGTGGGAGGTCAATTCGGGATCAGATATTAGGGAAGTACTTTCAGAGGACTATTCATCCCTGAAGCAGTTGACAACGCAGATGGGTGATGATATATCACAACATCTTCAAATTATTGGAAGTGGCCTAGAGGAAGGAGGAGATATAATATTGGTGAAAGAAAATATCATCAAGGCATGGCTTTTCTGCCATGAGCAGAGGATAAGAGTCATTTATGGAAGGACCATGGAGCTGCCACTGGTTCTACCATCAGGAATCTGTGAACTTCGTCTTTTTTCATGCAGTATTACAGATGGAGCTTTAGCTATTTGCCTTGGTGGCCTCACTTCACTGATAACCTTACACTTGGGTTATAATATGGCATTAACTGCACTTCCGTCAGAAGAGGTGTTTGAGCATTTGACAAAGCTTGACAATTTGACTGTAACAGGTTGTTGGTTTCTCAGATCACTGGGGGGGCTTACGTGCTGCTCCATCTCTTTCCAGACTTTATTGTTATGATTGCCCTTCTTTAGATCTGGCACGTGGGGCAGAATTTATGCCGTTCAACCTTGCTAAGCCCTTGTTTAGTTGGGTGAATTTGGATTTTGGGGCTACTGTAGCACGTTCGTTTTTATTTGGTAAATAGTGTTTAAACATGGACTAATTAGGCTCAAAACATTCGTCTCGCAATTTCCCACCAAACTGTGCAATTAGTTTTTATTTTCGTCTGCATTTAATACTCCGTGCACGGGCCGTAAACATTCGACGTGACAGATACTATAGCAACTTTTTAGACTTTGAGGTCCAACTAAACAAGGCCTAAGGTCCTCGGCATATCTGGCTGCATTCTTGCAGCCGATTCATTCATTAATGGCTTGCCACACCTGAAATCTCTTAGCATTCATAGTTGCAGAAGCTCCCCATCCTTATCGATTGCCCACCTGACGTCCCTTGAAGGACCAAACCTATCTTATGTCCCCGATCTGTGCTCTCTTCAAGGCTTGTCTTCCTGGCAACTTCAACACCTAACTTTGATAGATGTAACTGTTAGATTGATCTCTAATTCTAACTGGACCCAACGGCCCAGTTGGACCTTTGATTCGCGCCCTGATCGGGAACGCCCAGCCCACCATGACTGGAGGACACCTGTCACTCTGCGCTATAAAAAGAGGTGGGGGCCGGCGGCTCTTATCACGAGGTTGACCTGAGCCGAGCTCCCCACCGACATCTAAACCCTAATCCGATCAGAGAGGGACGCAGCCAATGACGGGAAGCCACCAGCCGCGCCGTCTCCGGACTGCGTCACCGGAATTCACTGCCTTCACCGCCGGTCGCCACAGCCCATCACCGACGTCCTCTTCCCCGACCATCGTTGCCCTAGCGCAGATCGACTCCATGGCGGACGCGAGCGGATCTTCCACTGCGGTGTCAGGTTTGACACGTCCATCTTCTACTCCACCCCTCTATGTCTCTCGTTGCAATAGTAGATGTACTAGGGCTCGTGATTCTATTCAACAGCAAGTACCCAGCTAGATCTATGTTCCTAGTGATCCTATAGGTTCTACAATGGTACCAGAGACATCGGTTTCTATGGTTTTAGATCTAGAACGGGTAAACCGATTAGAAAATGAAAAAGAAGGTTGGATCCAGTGCGGCTCTAACAAGAACAGAGGGTTCAGTTGAACCCTAACCCTAACTGGGTTAGGGAAAGGAGAAGAAGAAGAGGGTTTCAGCCTTAAGCAGATGAGAGCCGAACCCTAAACCCGTAGAGACCCTTTGGGGAAGAAGAACAGTGAAACTCTAACACAGTTAAACCCTAACCCATCCCAATCGGTCAAAACCGAGAAGAGCAAAGAAGATCCAAAGAAGGGGAAAAGGGGAATAGGTAGACCCAGAGGGCTTACCTTGCCGTCGTGCAGACCGGCGCGCGGGGAGAAGAAGGCCGAGCCCGGGGGAGCTGCTCGCTAGACTCTGGCCACAGGGGCGCCACGGCCAGGCCGCTCAACGGCGGCGCGCTCAACCGCTGGGGAGCGCGCACGCCGGCGAGGGGGCCGTCGACGGCGCCGGGGCTCTCTGCTCGCTCTCGTCGTCGTTTGCTCGTCGCTCGGGCTCGCTCGGCTGAGCGAGGGAAGGGAGAGGAGAAGGCCGAATGGTCGTTAGGGTTTCGGCCGGCGGGGGGCGTTTTTGTTCGCCTGAAGACGCCGCGTAGCCGTCCGATCGGATCCAACGACGCCAGATGCATGGGCCACATCACGGCCTAGGCGAGCGCGCGGAGCTTTACCGGCCCAGGCCCACGTTGTGGCCTAGGTGCGGCCTGCGCGCGCGGAGAGGTGGGCCGAGCTGGCTTTTGCCGGTTTTTGGGCCAAGAAAGGCTGAATGAGCCCGCGAGCCGATTTTTGTTTTTTCTTTTTTCCCAGAAGATTAAAAAATGGAAATTGGCTCGAAAGAAATTAGAAAAAGTGATTTTTCCCTGTGGATAAAATTCACTAAATTGAATTCCTTTTTTCGTTGCGTATTTAAAGTTGTTATTTTCATTATTAAATTTGAACCAATGGAAGAATTTAATTTTGAAAAATGGATATGTTTTTAGCTTATTATAATATTGTTATGATGAGTTTTGTCATGCATTAATTCTATTTCTGCCCAATGGTGATGTAGAATTAGTGTAGAGGACAATTGTATGTTTTAATTTTGACCAATATTGGAACTAAGGCATGCAATTGTTATTGTTATTGTTTATGTTCTCACTTGATATGAATTGTGTTTTCGGGCGGATACAACTTGATGGGTCGTATCAAAGAGATCCCCACTCTCAAAGGTGATAACTACATGGAGTGGAAGAAAAAGATAGACCTGACCTTCATCTTGACTGAGGTGGACTGGGTAGTCACCTCACCGTGTCCCACAGAGCCTGTGGCACCGGTGAAGGAGACAAACGAGGCTGATGCCGCTTGGGCAACAAAAGAAAGGGATTTTGCATCCCAAAAGATGTCCTATGACCTTGAGCATAGGAAGTGGGTCACTGCCAACAAAAAATGTTTGGCTGTGATAAAGAATACGATTGAACCTGTAATTGTGGGCTCAATCCCAAAGTGTGACAGCGTCACCGAGTACCTTGACATAATAAAGAGTCAGTTCACTGTCTCTTCAAAGACATATGCTACCCAGCTGATAAAACAGCTGGTGACAGAGAGGTACTCTGGTAATGGTGGCATAAGAGAGCACATACTAAGGATGAGCAATCTGGCATCCAAGCTAAAACCAATGGATCTGGCTCTCAAAGATGAGTTCCTTATCCATCTGATTTTTGCTTCCTTGCCAAAGGAGTTTGACACTTTTGTTGTCAACTACAACATACAGCCCGAGAAGTGGGACTTAGAGAGGCTCATGGCTATGTGTGTGTAAGAGGAGGAGAGAATGAAAGCTGTCAATGGTGGCACTATCAATTATCTGAAAGACAACAAGAAACAGAATAATAATGCTAACTTCTCCTCAAAGTCAAAGGGAAAGGGTCCCAAGCTGCATAAGCCTCAGCAGAACCAGTTCACAGTAGAGAAAGACCAATGTCTCTATTGCAAGATGGGACATTATAAGAAAAATTGTCCCAATTACTTAAAGATGATCATGGCAAAGAAAGGTGAGAACATTATTACGTTTATAAATGAATCCCTGTATGTACAGTATTCGAAATCTACTTAGTGGATTGACTCAGGTGCAACTATTCATGTTGCTAATTCTTTACAAGGATTTCGTTCGACGGGGACTACGGAAAGAAGCGAAAGACGCGTTAAAGTAGCAAATGGAGTCCGAGCAGAAGTTGAAGCCGTTGGCGATCTTTCTCTAGAGCTTACTGATGGTTTCAAACTTATACTTAGAGATGTTCTTTATGTTCCCTCATAACAGAGAAACTTGATTAGTGTTTCATGCTTGGATAATGATGGATATGATTGCTATTTTGGAAATGGCAAATGTAAGATAACATTTAATAATGCATATGTTGGTCTTGCTATCTTACAAAATGAGCTTTATTTGTTATCACTACATGATGATGTGAATGTTGTATGCGATGATGGGAATGTTGCATGCGACAATGTGAATGTATCCTCGTCTGTGGATGTAAACAGAAAACGAAAGAGAGCTCACGATGCATTGTCGAAATTATAGCACTGTCGTTTAGGCCATATTTCGTGGGGGAGAATAGAAAGACTAGTTAAGAATGATATTCTTCCTCCATTAGAGCTCTCAGATTTAGAACACTGCAGAGAATGCATTAAAGGAAAGTATGTAAAGAAAATTAAGAAAGATGCCAAACAAAGCACAGAAATTCTATAGATTATTCACACAGACATATGTGATCCGTTTCCTCTAAAGAGTGTGGATGGTTATGATTCATTCATAACATTCATAGATGATTACTGATGAGGACATCGCCATGCTGGACACACCGACGCCATGGTCTTCCCCAAGTTGCAATTTGTTCCCATCTTAGCTGCTACGTCGCCCTCGGATTCAGCAGACACGTCGTCACTGTTTCGGTCATAACTTTCTCATACGACATCGAAACGGGCCGTTCTTGGATGCGTTGGAAAGGGGACGACGACGCCGTCGTTTTGGATCTGGTCTCAGCTCCAGAAGGTCCGTGGATCATTCTGTGTGACCACGGCAAGGTGCTGCATCACCTATTTGGGCCAACTTGGCCATGTATCGTGTCGGGCCTTAAGCCCAAGTTGTGGGCGCCCAACCCCTGGCCGTCCCCAACCCTAGGTCGAGTCTTAGACTATAAACACAGCCGTCACCGCTGCTACACGATTGGATTTTGTTTAGAGTTTAGTTTTCCATCGAGAAACTGAATCGTTCATTGTAACTGTGGTGACAAATTCTTTTACAGTGATCCAGGGCCCCCGTTCTTGATCTCCTCCACTGTGTCGATTAGTCCTTTGGAACTGAGTTCTAGAACCCTCTATTGATATTCGCGTCATTCATATTTGCAATATCAGATTGCGTGTTTTACCTTCTTGCTTGTGCTCTTCGATTCGCTTGTAGGAAAAGCCTTCTTGGTGAGGTCAATCAAGTTGTGCTTGGTTGATAATCAACGGAGCAGTGGTGTAACGGTTGTAGGGTTCGAATCGCGTCTGATTTGAAGCTGGATCGCCAACGTCGAGATCTCCACAAATCGAACTTATCGGCTACCTCTCGAAAGATCGGGCCTCTACTCATCAATTGGTATCAGATATTTCAGGTTTACCGCGAGGTATAATCTCGTTTGCCTTAGATTCGTATTTGTTCATTACCTAGAGTCTACAAAAAGCCCAAAAATATTTCAATTTCCGATGTCCTATCGCCCTTTGTGCCTTTGCAATTTCGTTTCAGATTCGTGTTGTTGAGTTTGTGTCCGTGGTCGAGTCTTGTTGCTGGTTTAGGATTGTGTTCGTGGTCGTAGTTCAATCGCCCGTTGCTGTGATTTTTGTTTTCCGCCGCTATCACATCCACCGTTCCCAAACAACAAGTCGAAGCCACCA